GCTGCGAAAACAGTCGGTTCTGATTGGACATGTTCAACTGTGCGCGAACTTTTGACCTTGATACAATGATACGCAAAAGAATTAAAGATTATATTTATATATTTGTTATTGACACGCGGTGCTCATAAAATGTTTCGCCAATTTTTCGGGTCTGTTCATTTATACAATAAACAACAAGATATTAAATGCCATTGGGTAAAATGACTTATCGCGAAGTAACAAAGACAACAATTATTCCAATTAATAAAGCGTTTGCTACGTTTCTGGTTCTACGTTATTTCTCGACGGCTGACTAAAGTCACGGTAAGTGTCATTAAATTAAACGCGCGCCGAAATATTTATTTGTCAATTGCTGTATAGCTGTTATGGTATATGTTATATGTACCGTATAAGGGGCGGTCACGGATTCTAATAAAACCTCACGGTGAGCTCACACCATATATAGCTCACACTCACAGTCTCACAGCTTGTTAATATCTGACGGATTCTCACGGATTTCGAAAATAACACAACTTCAACAATATGGTTTTGTTTGATATAAATAAAAGCTACCAAACCTTGTGTGTATAAAGTACAGAAGGCTCTGAAAATGCCATTTCCAACGATCTAGAGACTCCATATTTTCAAAAATTTACCGCTCGGCGCCAAAAATTTACCGCGTGGCGCCTCGTGGCGCCTCGTGGCGCCTCGTGGCGCGTGGGTCGGTAAAACTTAGATGTTACACCCCCCCAGTTAAAAAGGTCATGCTACGCCCCTGAGTGTCCAAGTTTCATCTTTTGTTTGCAGGTTGGTACAAAAAAAATTTAAAAAACAATTATCGTGTTGGCGTTGCCATGACCACAGATGACGTATCTACCAGATGTGTAACTTAATAGGACTTCGTGTCTTCAAATTTCCCTGCCATGACACTCGATCTCCTCCGCAGAGGCTTTGTAGATCTTTGTAGTTTGTTTTCTTTCTATATTGTAGTTTGTTTTCTTTCTATATATAAAGTTTGACTATAGAGTTTGCGGGCAGTAGCGGGCTAAGCAGAGAAGTGAGCACGCGGGCGGAGCGAGCGCGCGGGGTTAAAAGGGGACATCGTGAACACTTGGAGATAATAGGTATCTTAAAAGGAGCATCGTATTCATGGACATTTGGAGATAACTAGGAAGATGGCGTCCTGGAAACTTTTGCATTTTATTGCGGCTTTTTTGGATTGAAATTTATGGATTAAACAATCAAGAGCATCGTTTGTTGAATGTTTAAAGTTGTTAAAAGCAATTAAGTTGTAGAAAAGGTGTTGAAAACATTTTTGAAACAAATAATCACGCGAACGACACTTGCTAGGAAGATGGCAATCGTGGGACAACTTTTTTACTGAAGTTACATTATGCCATGACTGACATGACGTGACCAACGCGAGCCTGCGTTCAATGTTGGCGTAATTACGAATACTTCATGTTGCAACAATGTTTGGAGAATATAGGCAAGGGGTTGTTGCATGCATGTATTTCTAGTATAATATACATAAAAATATTACTCGACTGTGATTGGTTGATTTCAATGCAGTTATTAATCCCAAACAGCAGTTCAATTTTCTGTAATCACAGTGCAATTTTCTGTAAACACAGTGCAATTTTTTCTAATCACAGTGCAATTTTCAGTAATCACAGTGCAAAAATATGTAACAAACTGATATGATTGGTGGGACAAAAATTCCATAAAATCAACCAATCAGTTTAAAGAAGTAACGGTCACAGATTGCTTCAAAACAAAACAAACATGGCGCCACGTCACTGTAAAGTCAAGGTTGACTTAGGTTGGAAATTATGGCTTTTATCCCTATTTTTAAATGGAAAAGCCTTTACCTAGTAACAAAACATATATGGATGAAACATCATATACGGATGAAACAGACTGTTGTGGTTTTTTGAGGTAAAACGAAAAACTATATATACATATATATATATATATATATATATATATATATATATATATATATATATATATATATATATATATATATATATATATATATATATATATATATATATATATATATATATATATATATATATATATAGTTGAGAGGAATTTTCAAGCTGTTAGCGTTGATATCAGTGATATAACAAAGCCAGGAAAACTTTGCCAGTGGAATGTTCGCTATAAACTATGGTTAGAACTACAATTGTCTCGAACATTTGTATTTAAATTATTAAAATAATAATTAATAGCATAGTTTCTCGTGTAAATTGGATAAACATTGAAAAACTCACTCGTACATGCAAAAGAGGGGGGAGGTATGTGTGGTGTGATACCCCAAAAAAAACACACAAGAAACCCGAATCATCCCGATTGGCAGGGCAATTTAAATGATAGAATGTAGAGTTATTAAGTAACTTATTGTAGCTAACAATCAACAAGCAGTTCGTATGCATGTACATTGACATCGGCATTTCAATTATACACGTAGCTTAGTGATGTGTTGTACTAGCGCTGGCGCTGCAGGCTGCAGGGCATCATTGGTTTTGGCAGGACAATTCTACCAGCAAATCTAGATTCGGATTTTTAGGATTCGGGTTTTTTGGATTCGTTAAACCCTCTATGAACTATGGTTAACTAACAAATGGAACGAATACACCCTTTCAATAATTACGTCACACATACATTTTGGTCTTGGAGCCTCGCTCTCATTAGTAAGATTACGCAAGATCTATTTTAAGATTTTGTCAAATGAAACTGAAAATCGATAATCGGATTTGAAGATCCAAATCCGGATTGCACCAAAGGAACGCTCCCTGTAAGTGTTTAAACCGAGGAAAAGAGTAAGTTTTGACATTGTGTACCCTCGATCGAGGATCCTCAAAACATACTGTTTCCCGAAGTTCCAATCAATTTTTTTTTTATTGTGTCAAAGCTACGCCATGCTGAGAGTTAATTAAACTCTCGCTTGTAAACAAACGTGACATTACACCAAGGCATCGCAGGCTCAGGGTGCAACGATTTAGCTAAAATATGCCCACTTAATGGGATGAATTAAGTTACCAAAAAAGTTTGTATTTATATGCGTAAAAGTTGATCAGTGCAATGATTGTGGAGCATTTGTGTTTTATTAACCATGCATGCACGCAGCTAGTATACAGCTATAAAATACGGTTTATAAGTAAAATATCTTATCTTAACGTTTGCTCCTTTTGCAGTTTGTGTGATATAAAAACTGACATATTTTCAGATAGAACGTGTAATTTTGAGAACGGAAATAATATCCCATGGGGTTCGATAACATTGCTGATTTTGTTCTGAAGCTCTGCCAAAGTTGCCAATTTTGTGCCCATCGTACGTGTCGCACCCACCCGGAGTGATGTTAATGATGGTGTCTCGTTAATGATGTGTTTTCCAACTTTATTTTGCAGGTTTCACTCGAGAAAATGCGAACGCTGGTCCATTTTCAAAATGCATTTTGTGCTCTTGCAATGATCGCTCAAGTCAGTGTGATCCAGAGAGCGGCGTGTGTATTGGCTGTGATATTGGGAGTACTGGGGACCACTGTGAGAATTGCGAGTTTAACGTGATTGGTCCATACTGCAATGTTTGCGCGGATGGATTTTATGGACTTACCCAGGACCACAAAAACTGCAAACGTAAGTATACAATCTACATTGGAATGCGAAGTTGGGTAACTGATTTAAACACTGGAATTAAATAGAGTATATTTTTTAATTCAATGAACCGAATGTCAGAATAATATGCAGCGTGTTCACGGGCCTTGGAAATCCTGGAAAGTCCTTGAATTGGAAAAACAAATCAGTAGAAGTCCTTGAAAGTCCTGGAATTAATTTCCTTAACCTACAGCTGTGCCAATATTAGTGATTTTGATTATAATTACTGAATAGAGTGTGGCAAATTGTGCCATTTTCAAAGATTTCCCAGTTCTAGGTCCTTGAATTTACTGAAAAAGGGCCTAGCTTGAAAGTCCTGGAAAAGTCCTTGAATTTCACCTGCACCAAAGGGTGGACACCCTGAATATGAAACTAAAGTATACTTAACAATTGCACGTCGTACCTCATTATTTGGCATGTTGTGTACACAATATATCGTCTGAGTATAACTCAATAAATTATATTTGTTTTCCCCCCACAGCTTGTGATTGTCACTTACCTGGCACTCAATATGGTAATACATCCAGTTGTAACGTGACTACAGGTCAGTGTAAATGTAACCAAACCCTACATACTGGTGGAAGACGATGTAATGTATGTCAGGAGAACGCTTGGAATAGAACTGAGAGCAGTTTGAATTGCGAAGGTACGTCAAACTCACTCAGTGGTGTAGCGACCGGTGATGTAGGTGGAGTGACACCCCCTATATTTCTTTATGAGTAATTTCAGGTAAATTTAATTTAGAGGTGACTTGAGCTGATTTTTAGGTAAATTATAAGATTTTTAGGGCTAACTCGTGGAAGTTTAAAGCGAACGCAAGCTAAGAATGCGAAAATTTTCCGGCTTTCTGAGGGAAACTTTTTCTCCCCCAAAAATTTTGAATAACTAACCAATATAACGTTTTTAACAAACATAAAGAGTTTTATCACTTTCAGGACGATATCATAAATGTAATATCATTTACGATATTGTTCCTCAAGCGATAAAACTGATATCACCTCACCCCTCGTATTATATATGACCTATATATACTGTACCTGCAATATATACTTCGGACATTTGATTAGAACAGTGACAAATTTTGTAGTATAATCTCAACAAACCTTACCGATTATTCTCTTTTACCCAATGGCCTCGTTTCCATGTTAACTTATTCTAGCATGTCAGGGGCAGATCAAGATTATATTCCCATGTTTTCCTGGACGAATTTGTTTCTTGCTGTTCTTAGGCTCAATAACAAAGTAATTTTCAACCATACTAAGCACAAAACACAAACAAGTAAGTATTTGACATGAAAACGAGGCCATTGGGTAAAAGAGAATAATTGGTAAGGTCTATTGAGATATCAAATTCAAGTAAATATTTACCGCTTTCCATCCAAGGAACAAAACAATCACAAAAGTTTCCCATGGCACTGAAACGTACCAAAATCTTTCAATATAATTTTTTTTTAATTGTAGAGTGTCCTCCTTGCTTTGGAATGATAAAAGTTGAGGTGGACAAGTTTCGACAACAGATATTAAGCTTGAAGGTTCTTCTTCGGTCGTTGCTTGACATGGATTTATTGAGTCAGTCGTTTAGCTTTACTGAACGATTACAAATCATTCAGGATCGTGTCGAAGAAATCGTTTTGAGATCTGAGGTAATTTATAGATTTCATACAAAAAGAAACAGATGAATGTATATATTGTTCAAAATTGTTCAGTACTTTTTCCCCATTATGTTCTTCCCGCTCTTACTCAATCCCTTCTCTTGCCTTTGTTTGTCTCAGGCCATGCTCGCGCGTAACAATCTTCGCCTCCTCCGAGTCAATCCCCGACCCTTAACATTATATTTCGCTCCATCTTCCTTCTCCATACTCTCTTCTGCTGAACCCACCATGTATCACACACGCGAAAACGTGCGCCCGCGAATAGATAAATTTAAATTCATGAAGTTTAGATTAGTGTCAGATTAAGATTATCAGTATTCGGGTTAGGGGTTAGAGTTGGGGTTTGATTAGGGTTAGGTTCATCTATCCCAATAAGTTATTGCGCGAATTTATTGTATTGATAATTTCGGACGTGTTTAAGAATTTACTCATATAGTAAATTCCAAGGTCGATGGTAGAAAATAATCGATAAACAGAAAAAAATCGATGTTTTTTGAAAACCGATTTAACCGATGTTGCTTTCGGTGAAAAACCGGAAAGCCAAAATAGAGAAAAATCCGGATAAAAATCGGTATTTCAATGCAATCGGTGTTCAATTTACGCTTTCGTGATTCAACTAAAAGAGAGTTTATACTATACTTACACATGCAGGCCTTGAATGGCATTTTTTTTCTAAATAATAATCCCCCCGCTCCCCCAAACCAATGTTGAATGGTACTTTCCATCAAATGTGAAAAATTCGGATATGCAACATTGAAGAGGGGGAGTGGGGGATATGCCAGTAAATTCAAGTTTTAGCTGTTTGTTATGATTTTTGCGGAAGTGGATTAACCACATGCGTTTTGGCCCGGATTGTGTCACAGTACCAGCGTCCAAGCGTCCCTTGGTTAACATCTACTTACAGCTGCTAGTTTAAGCTTTGCCGGTTTTCTTTGCAGGCCTTGGCTGCTGAAGAAGATAGCGCAAACCAACAGCTAGAGAGGGGTTTTAGTGTGCTGGAAACGTTTGAGAGAAGTCGGTCACAAAAAGACACCGAAGTCAATATAACAGTGAATGCCGCGAACAGAATTCAACAGAAACATCGAGAGACAGCGGCAGTTATGGAAAATATTCGTAACTTAATAACACAGGGCTACAATTCGTTAAACAATACAATGGAAGGTTTCCTGAATGAAATTCGAACATCTCTGATGCTACTTGATGATTGGATGGACGAATTGGAACAGGTTAACGCTCAGTCGATCGAAAAAGTGGCAGAAATTGGTCTTATAAACAAGACAATTAATAACCATTTGGAAGCAGCCGTAACTCTAATTACCAAAGCGAGTGAAGATGCTACAAATGCGCTAAACCTGTTCGATTCTCTGGTATTATGGATTCCAACATTGCAAGCTAATATGTCTGATGCGAAAGAGATTGGCAGACGCGCCTACGATATAGCTCGACAGCAGTATAACAACGCATCGATCGTGTTTAACGTGACGTCACATTTGGAGACACACATGTCTAACAACACTGCCAGTATCGCAGAGGTAATTATTATATCCTCCTTATTTTACATCCATATTATTTGTACATATAGCTAATAGCATGGTTTCCGGGGGAATTTGATTAAAAAACCATGCCAGCAACTATTCTGGCCTGGATTTGCTATCACTTCTTGGAATTTCAGCATGGGAATTGGGAATTACTGAGGTTGTTAGTTTTAATTTTTACTTCCAATTTAAACAAAACTCTCTGCAACATTTTAACATGCAAGTATGTCACAAGCGATAAAATGGACATATTTTAATCTAGCTTGACATAAGACTATTTGGCGGAACAAGACAGCGCACGAAAAAGATTCACCAACATGGGAATTGAAATAAGTCAGCCGCAAAAGACTAATTTGAACTGATATGGAAAATAAGCTCCTTAAATTACTTAATGAAATGACAGAAATATAGGATATAGTTGACAAACTGGTGTTAGCACAACCAATTTCAGCGGTCTCACCCTACTGACCCAAAATGTCTATGTGATCGTGAACACAGGCCCTTTAAATACCTTTAATTAAATAAACAATCTTCAACATTATATTTTAAACGCATCCAATATAGTCTCATAGAGTGACGGTAGCCCCGCACCTCCCCCCCCCCCCCCAGGCCCCTTCCTAGTCATTGACGGATTTTCAGATTTTACTAGGGGGTGCCGAAAATTTAAGGGGGGAGGTGAGTGATGGGGTGCGTATTGCGCCACCGAACAAGCTGCAACAGGGGTCTGGGGGCACAGTTGCGAATGGGGGTAAGGGCCCCCCGGAAATTTTGAGATTTTTGGTCTTATTTAGTTCAAAATCCTTGTTTTTAGTCTTACTTAGTTCAAAATCCTTATTTCAATCACAGTAATCCTTGTTTCACTCACACTAATCCTTATTTCAATCACATTAATCCAATGAGCATTTACATTTCTGCGGGGTCGGGCAAATTTCTCTAGGTGGGGTGGAAAAACGTTCTGGGTGATGCAAAATATTCTTTAGGGGTGCCCACTCTCCTGCATACCCCAGAAAATCTGTCTATGCTCGTAGGATAGGAAGCTTTGCAGAAATATAATCATTGTGTTTGCCCCCAAATAATTACGAATCATACTTTTTTTTTCAGGAGGCATTATTGTTAAAGGAGCTCGCCCAGGAGGTACGTAGAAACGCGACAGACGTTATTGAAGCGGTACACAAAGCTTCTGAAGAATTTTCAAATGTCATGAATCAAACGAAAGATGCATTAAAACAGATAACAATATTGCAGGTAATATGATTATATATACGAACTAGTTTACTGTTTACTGTTTCCCAAATAGTATACATAAAAATGTTGTTCGACTTGTGATTGGTTGATCAGTGGAGTTGTAACAACGTGCAAAATCTGTGACACACTGACCTGATTGGTGGACAAACAATGGGATGTAAAATCAACCAATCATCAACCAGGCAGGCTGAGTGAGAGTAGTCCTTAAGTAACGCCCACAGATTTCTTCAAAATAAAAATATGCCAAACATGGCGGCCGCGCTACTTAAAGTAAAAATTGAGTTTGGGTCGAAAATATGGCTAGTATGGACGGAAAAGACTTTATATTTAAACAAGATAAATAAAACCTACATATAGTTAAGTGAAGTTTTCAAATTGCATGTACAATGTGATATACCAAGCAGAAATTTAGATAAAACAAGCACTTTTAATGCTCTTTGAAAAGCTCACTCGTGACCGATCGATTTAAGCTAGCATAAAAAGCAATATAAACAACACTTTCCCAGCATATACAGCTGCGTTTCAGGTCATAACATGATCACGTACAGATATATAATGCCTTTATAGGTAGAAATCAAATCTGATTAGAGACATTCTATAAGATCAGAGTTGGCATAACCTGAACCATTTATCCCGGTATCTTCTGGACACGGTTCCTAAGAAGTGAGTTTCCTCCCCTTTGATGCCTTGCATGTCGTCTTCACGTTTGAGTGCAATTCTGGACAGAAATGATGCATTATAGGACTGGCCCATGTAAATTAAATGTTTTTATACGCATTGCTGTGCAGACCAACCGAAACACATCATGCGAATAATTTAAAAAAATGAAAAAACTACTTTGCTCATTGACGTTGTCCTATTTGTCTTGGCTTGTCATTTGTCTTTCCAAAGAAAATAAGTATTTGTATGTCTGAATCACTTATGCCGGGGGCATACCAAGATCTCCTTTTTTCCAAAATGGGGAGTTCTAAATGTAAAATGGATATATGGTTCTAAAAATTAAAATGGACAGTTGTTAAAACAAAGTTTTCGAGCTTTATATGGGAATTAGTTGTAAATTAAGCACGCATACAGATGTTTAAGGCAAAAAGAAAACCCAAATGTCACTCTGAAAATGCAGGAAGTGGCCATTCTGGACTTCTAAAATTCAACATTTTCCAGGGAAGCATATGTCCCAGTACTCTCCTAACTATTCAGGTATCCAATACACCATGACCTCGTCTCTCGTTAGGCCCTACTGCCACACAGTTAGCCTGTGTTTATCAGTAATACTTCATAGTCTGTTCGAAATAGGCAGTCGAAATAGGCAGTTCTAAAATTTTTCTTAGGATGACCCCTGACTCATGCTTTATGTATTGTATAAAATACAACCAACTCACATTACATTTCATGTTACAAAGGAACACGTACGAACATCCGAACAACAGGCAAGCGAACATCTTGCTGAAAGTCAGAAATACCACACACAAGCTGTGACAGCCATACATGAAGCTCAAGAAATACACGAACGTGCCAGGAACATTCTTGATACAGTGGAAGACTACGGAGTCGTTGCCGAACAAGCTAAACAACAGTCCCAGAAGTCCATACAAGATGCAAGTGAACTAACAGTTTTCCATCAGTTAAGGATAGACTATGCAAGCAACATTGCTCAATCATTGCATTCGTCGTATAACTCATCCCATTCCTTGGTTGTTCTTGCAGAAAAGGTTGAAAACCATGCGAGAGAGGAGAATGAAGTAAGTTATTGAACATCATATGAGAAACTCAGGACCTATTTACATATGATCTCAGTTTGCCGGAATGGAATGGAAAGCGGGATGATTTTGATGTATTACGATTACGATTAGCTTTTCTATATCGCAATTTACATGTGGTTATGATCAAATGTAGCTTACTTTACATTGAGTATTACGCTTACCTAATTACATAGCCTAGACTGTCTTATCTTTACAACAACTGTGATATTATGTTTGTGATGTTACTCTGAGTGTATATCCACACCGGGCGAGCTTGAAAAATATGCCCGGCCACGGTGGGCTAGTATTCCAAAGGTCGTAGGTTCGATTCCCACCGTGGCCGGGCATAATTTTCAAGCTCGCGCCGGTGTGGATATACACTCAGAGTAACATCACAAACATCATATTCACCTGAGTACACAACACCAACACAGAAAAAAATCATATTACTAGATTACATTGGTATGGAAGGAACTAGATTCTGTTCCGAAATATCACTTACTAAACGTCCTGGCCGCGTAGCTCAGTTCGCATAGCATTGGGCTAGTGTTCCAAAGGGCGTAGGTTCGATTCCCACCGTGGCCGGCATATTTTTCTAGCTCGCCCGGTCTGGATATACACTCAGAGTAACATCACAAACATCATATTCACCTACACCGTACACAACACCAACACAGAAAAAAACAAACTGTGATATTAATTTCTTAACTATGTTTATCCTAACTCACAGAATTTCGCCGTTTCGAGCGAAGGCCCTTCTTCTGGAGTTACGTAACTTTAGACAAAGTGCTAGCCTGCGAACAGGTTCTTTGAATTGATCAAAGAGAGCCTGGAACGTTCGCAGGCTAGACAAAGGGCCTTCGCTCGAAACGTCGAAATTCCCCTTATATATATTCTTCACTTAAATTCTTCTTGCTTTAGTTTATGGATATTTTCTGAATTGTTTGACAATCAAAACGGACATTTGCGGCTGAACTCATAATTTCTTTCAACCCTTTTGCAGGCAATTACCAAAACTTTCGTCCTGTCTCAAAAGTTGAGGAATTACACTGCGGACGAAAAGGCAGCTACGGTGGTCAGTAATCATAACATGGTTCTAGATCATATCGCAAATCAAGTCAACCCTATTCACGAGAAGTGCACCTCAATTCAACGAGACACACAAGCTATCTTGGCAAACACAACAACAACACAAGTAGCAGCAGAAGCACTTTTGGGAAAGGTTAACGGTGTTTCGGAAGAGTTGGATAAAACTACAACAAGCTACGACGCATTACCGACGTTAAACACAAGGCCACTAACGGCTATGGTGTCAGATATAACGAGAATTCGAGGTGCTTTCCAAGCATTAAAGTTGAGCACTTCAATACAGAGATTGCGTCAAGGGCAGAATGAACAACAAAATTGGTTGGACGAATATAAGCCACGAGTGCTGAAACTCCGTCAACAGGTTGCGGCCATGCAAAGTCTTATACAGTCACTGAAAGACATTCCTTGTGGCAATTGATATGATATGACCACATATGAAACCTTAATTTTGATAGGGTAATCCCATCGTGAAAGGAATTACCGTTATTATTATTATTAAAACTATTATTAAAAAGAATCTTCAGCTTTTATACAAATGTTGGAACATTTGAACTTAGATAAGGCTTGTGTTAAATATATCGTGAGGAAAATTTATTCAATAACATTGCAATAAGAACGCATTGGTGGAAATCTCGGTGGGGTGTCCCCCCCCCCCCCCAAACCTTAACGGAAAATTAACGAATGTTCGGAAATTTTGACCTAAAAGAGGGCTAAAAACAGCTTTTCGAGTGCAAATGGGGGGGGGGGGTGTTGTCGGAAATTTGAAGGTTTTGTCGGAAATTTAGGAGGCTATGCCCCCGCCCCCCACACACTGGAAAAAGTGAATTTCCGCCACTGTACGAACAACATATTACGTTTTCTGTCCTAGAGACAAGGATTGAATGGTCGAATCCAGATTTAACGAACTTCTAGCTAGTCTCTTACTTTTTGTATTATATAATTATGTCCATGTGTTGTGTAATTTCAAACACTCATTATAATAATTCATAAGCTTATTGACAAATCATGTCAACCGTAATATATCACGTGCAGTGGCTTTAAACCTAAAACACTCCTAATTAATATTCTTTATATAAAGAATACTAATGAGGCAGTATCTATTGTAGTCGTGTCCTCATTAGTAAAAAACATTAATAAAAAACTATATACATTATATTATACAAGCAAATACACCCTTTTCATAAATGGCTGCCGATTAAAAATTCTTTTATGTGCATATAAATTGGCCCAACTAGCCTCGTACTCATGTTAAGATTTCAAAGGAATTTCTACCCAGAAACGAGGCTAGGTGGGCCAATTTATATGCACATAAAAGAATTTTTAATCGGCAGCCATTGATGAAAAGGGTGTATGCAATACTTTTAATTAGACAATTAGGTTAGTTAGACAATTAGATTAGCATCGGAAATTAAAGCGTTAATAAAGAGTTTCTTGCCTCGCACGGTAAGCTATTCCAGAGTTTTGCTCTACTGTAACTTATGCTCTTTTTTTTCAAATACTCAGTTCTAGATCTTGGGCGATAGTTATAATTGTGTTGAGGGATAAAATGGTCAGTTTCAAATGCTTCGGTCAGACGCGAGCGACTGGGGACGAGTCAGGGGGAGGAACATCGCGAAACATTTCGATGGCCGATTGGCGAATCGTTGGGCGAGGCGTTTAGTGCGGGCGGGAGAAGAGAGGCTGCTACGCAGGCTAACTCTTACCGACCATACTGATACTTTTTGTTTGTGGAAACACCACGTAAATTTATTACTGCAAAGCTTTCGATCCGTAAGCCCGGATTTTCATCAGTGCTAATAATATTCTTCCCAACCAGTTCTCTTATGAGAGGCATTAACCCCCTGAACCTCCAATATTTTGAATATTTTCAGGGGGATGAATGTCTTTCGTTAGCGCACTGATAGGTAGCATTGCAACGGTTACGCCAAAATCATAGGCGCCGACGGGCGGCCGACAAGAAGTCGGACTTCTGTGCCGGTGTCACAGGAAATCCCCCCCCCCCCTTACGGATTTTTGGCTAAGTCGAACCTCTGCATTGACTCATTATTAAATGGACCCGTTAAGTTGTCATCTGACATAGGCCGTAATAGATTTCTTTGAATTAAGATTTAAAAAATAGGTTACTTACTTACTTGGTTGAAACATGGATAATAAAATAAACAACTGTTTCATTTTATTATCCATGGTTGAAACAATCCGTGTCATTTTGAGGTCAGTGGATGCTTGTCGGGCTTATAAAACAAACTAATATAAAGTATTACTACAAATCAAATCGTCAACCGCTGCCCGGATCAGAGATCGACAGCAGGCTCAGATCTCTTTCCTGGTATCAATTTTCAATTTTTATGTTGGACGAGTATTTTGTTCAAAGAACACTCAGTATTATTGTTGAAAATCGCTTCTTCGAGAGAAGAAAACTAAAGATCTGATACAGCTGTTATCTTCTTCAAGTGGCCTGGTTTTATGTCGTTGTAAAAATGATACATAGCTTGTTTATTATCAACCATTCAGGGTAAGTATTTGTCATCAAATTTGTTAGATTTTGTCCTGATTTTAATGCTCACATTGATATAGTCTGGCGTTTGCTATCGATAAAGTCGTTGGTCGATGTCAATATATAATGATTGATATCATTCAGTAGGTTGATATTGAAAATCAATGAACAATCAATGGCCTCAATGGGGGAGGTTTTTGTGGTTACTGATTGGTATTGATTTTTGATAACAATCAATAGAGTAATCATTGATAACAATCAACAGGGTTTCCAATAATATTCGAAGTGACTACATGACCGGCAGCCAGCTATCTAGTAAACCGCCAGCTATATAGTGACTATAGTTAAAGTTGAATTTTTATAAGATAAACCGATCCCCAACCCCCAACCCTTCTCTAACCCTAACCTAACCTTTTGAGAGTTAGAAAAGCCGGAAAAAAAAGTTTAAAAAATTTAAAGAAAAAACAATGATAAGTAAGACAAAAACACATCCCGACTGTGTTTCACTTTCCGCACGCAGCGTCTTTGCCGAATACGCCAACAGCAAGCTCGGTAAAAGCTTACGCAAACAAAAGTTTGTATATTTAACTGTATTCGCTATACTGTTGGCCACATAGACGGATTTTCATATTTTTACTGGGGTGCTGCCAGAAATTTTAGGGGGGTGAGCCGTGTGCAGGTGACTGAAGCAACACAAAGTGTCACCAAACCCCAGTAAGGTCTATATTCTAGGGGTGGAGCACTAGAGCCACGAGTGGGAGTCTAGAGAGCAAAAAACAAAGTAACCTGTAAAAGTGTAAACCCAATAGGCCAATACACAATATGCTTTTACTTTTATAAAATCATTGACATTGTGTCGTTTGAATCCGAGTACAATTTATGATGCAACTCCGATGTAAATAATATTTGGGACATAAAGATTAAATCTAGGCAAGACTATTTCCTAAAAGAATTAAAAACTAAAAATAATGTTCGTAAAATTTCCAAACGTTCCTTGCAAGCAAGCTATTTGCATGACAAGGCACTGCAAACTCTATTCAGGGGAGATAATATAGTTTCAAAACTTTACAATTGGTCCAATAAACCAGTGAATGCAGGCGAGGAGCAATTAGTTTCAGAGTATTGCACTGTCTTTTTCTGTTTGAGTGTACTCCTATGTTTATTTTGTATCATCAACACTCTGCACGTTGGAGTGGACTATTTAATTATTTTTTATTATGCCGAATATTGGGGGGGGGGTTGGAAATTTTTTTGGAGGGGTGGACATTTTGTTTGGGGGGGTTATAGCTACACAAAATCCGTCTATGGTCGGCCGTATAAACTGTGACCGGCTGCCGGTCATATAGTCACTTTGAATAATATTTGAAGTAGATTGGGCGATTTTGTCATATTATCCATCGTTTATAAAAGGATATTTTGTAAAATTTAACTTACAAGAGCAAGGACCCTAACTATTTACAGGGTGTATTAAAAAAACTGATTCCAACTTTGGCAGTGTTATTGTGCATTATATATTACATTTATCCATTTACTTTTTTCATACCAATAAAGGTCAAGCTTTTAGCTGTTGAATACTACCTTTCTTGTATCATTTTGCTCAAAATCACATTTTTCCACCGTTGAGAATTGTATGTAAACCTGTTGTCTGAGTATTGAAACTATTCTCGTTTGGGATTCAGAATGAGGTCCCCCCCCCCCCCCCCGGTCGCCAAAAAGATTTTGGTCAGTGTACCATTTTAGGGGTACAAAAATTTTTCCAGACATATACAAGAAAAGGGATGATAAAATTTTTTTCCGGGCCTATAACAAAAAATTTTTCCAGACATACACAATCTTTAAACAAAATATTGCACATTTTCCCCCTCATCCCTAAATTTTCAAAAAATGCCCTAAATTTTTCCTCAATTATCAAAATATTTCCAGAAAAAAAATTTTTCTGGGGGGGGGCTCCCCCCCCCCCACTTTTACTTCTGGGGGGGGGGCTAAGCCCTCCCCCCCTGTTCCGCCGCCCCTGACTTGAATACACATGGCGCAACACATTTGTAAGCATCAAGTTTTGGTACATTTCCACTCGCAATTTTGCATCGAAATTGAGTGGTTAAAAAATTTTACAGAGCTGGAAGTTTGCAGTAGTGATTGACCGATAATCGGCATCGGACCTATTTTTTTCCTTATCGGTAGACAATCAGAATCGGTAGAATTATCTACATTTCCGATTATCTGAAACCGATTGTTGAGAAAATACTCTTAGAATTATATGCATTGCACGTTGGTACATGTTGCGTTTTAACACAATATGTTAAATTAATGTGTGAAGCGTGTCATTTATTAATGATATTGATGATCTTTGGTTGCAGTGATATATTTTGTTGCAACTTATTGTTAAAAAAATTGACACGAATGATGTTACCTTTTCTCGGTGGACTGATATTATGACTCTTTTTTTTTTCTGTGTTGGTGTTATGTACTGAGGTGAATATGATGTTTGTGATGTTACTCTGAGTGTATATCCACGCCGGGCAAGCTTGAAAATATGCCTGGTCACGGTGGGAATCGAATATGCGACCTTTGGAATACTAGCCCAGTATGTGAAAATTCGGGTCTATAGTTCCTTCGATATCAATGCAATCTAGTAATTATGATTTTTTTCTGTGTTTGTGTTATATACTCGCGTGAATATGATGTTTGTGATGTGACTCTGAGTGTATATCCACACCAGGCAAGCTTGAAAATTATGCCTGACCACGGTGGGAATCGAACCTACGACCTTTGGAATACTAGCCCAGTGCTCTGCCAACTGAGCTACTGTATGTGGTCAGGTCGGTTCGAGTATGTGATATTTCGGAACTGAGTCTAGTTCCTTCGATATTGATGTAATCTAGTAATCATGATATTTTCTGTGTTCAACTTGGTGTTATGTACTCAGGTGAATATGATGTTTGTGATGTGACTCTGAGTGTATATCCACGCCGGGCAAGTTTGAAGACTATGCCTGGCCACGGTGGGAATTGAACCAATGAACCTACCACCTGTAATTTCCGATTATTGCACAATCACTAGTTTGCAGACTGATCTCGCAATGCAATACATTTCCCAAATGGACAACAAGCAATTTGGGCAAATGTATGAAAATTGGACTTAGAACATTTAAATCCTAAAAATGGGAAACTGTGATTTCAACTGACCGCTTAAATCAGGTCGTATTTGCTTATTTGCGTATTATTTGACCGCTAAAAACCTGTTCTTTATAAAGTAACACACAATAACCTGCCTGGGTTTTTTTATACAAGATTGTTCATCTCCAAAACTTTGTTCAATAAAAATTGGGTACCAGATAAATATTGCGAGGATGTCATGTAGCCTAGAATATATATTTGTCTGCAGGGCCGCTGCGAGGGGGGTATTAGGGGAGGGGGGAGGTGGTTAACCCCCCAACTTTTTTATAATTAACATATTCGGAAAATCATGTTGGCCATTCGGAAAATTACGGCAATAATAGTATAACAAAATTTTTGTTGTTAAGCAGAGAAAATATAATTATAGAATTGTATTGTCAGTATAAACTGATTTACGAAATCATGGCATTTACATGGATAACAATTTACAAATCGTAAATCGGTAATTGGTTTTCGGTTTATTATACTTCTGTAATATGTCTATGCGTAGAATATGCGTATTTTTGTTTGTATTTGGTCAATAATTGACTCTCTCAAGAAACCCTTAGAAATTTCAAATCTGATAATTTTTATCAGTGACAGTGGCAGGGAATGAAAGATCATTCAGCAGGCTATAAACAGACTGTGAAAACCATAGAGATTATAAATAACACTAGAGGGGCATCATAATCTTAATCCAATCAAAGAAAGGGAACGCGGCTATTGGGGGGCAAAAAATTAAAATGCTAAAATAAGAGTGAGTTTGAGCCAAAATCTCTAAATTCTTGTTTATGGCAGCCTCGTTTTGATTTTTA